TGGGGACAGGGTGTTGCTCTGTCATCCAGGCTGGAGTGCAGTGGTGCCATCTCAACTCACTGCAGTGTCAACTTCCTGGGCTCAAGTGGCTTTCCCACCTCAGCCTCCCAAGCAGCTGGGACTACAGGCGTGCATCACCATGAGTGGCTAATTTTTGTATTTTTTTTAGAGACGGGGGTCTCCGTATGTTGCCCTAGCTGGTCTTGAACTCTTTTTTTTTTTTTTTTTTTTTGGAGACAGAGTCTCGCTCTGCCGCCCAGGCTGGAGTGCAGTGGCCGGATCTCAGCTCACTGCAAGCTCCGCCTCCCGGGTTCACGCCATTCTCCTGCCTCAGCCTCCCGAGTAGTTGGGACTACAGGCGCCCGCCACCGCGCCCGGCTAGTTTTTTGTATTTTTTAGTAGAGACGGGGTTTCACCGTGTTAGCCAGGATGGTCTTGATCTCCTGACCTCGTGATCCGCCCGTCTCGGCCTCCCAAAGTGCTGGGATTACAGGCTTGAGCCACCGCGCCCGGCCGGTCTTGAACTCTTGAACTCAAGTGATCTGCCACCTCAGCCTCTCAAAGTGCTGGAATTATAAGCGTGAGCCACCATGCCTGGCCCTCTTAGTATAGTCGTTTTATAGGTGAGGAAACTGAAACTTCAATAATTTGTTCAATAATTTCTCATAAATACACAGCCAGTAAGTCATGGCAGTAGCACCAGATGTGCTGGTGCTAAAACCTATGCTGGTAACTAGTACACAATTTCATGATGTTTATAATAGCAAAACGTCAGGAAAAAACTTGAATTTAAATAATAGAAGATTGCTTAAATTGATTTATTATGGTTTAGTCATATATTAATATAGTTATTTACAGTTATATTATATACAATTAATATTTAAACACAAGTGGCTGGACGCAGTATCTCATGCCTGTAATAATCTTAGCATTTTGAGAGTCCAAGGCAGGTGGATCACTTGAGGTCAAGAGTTCGAGACCAGCCTGGCCAATATGGCGAAACCCCGTCTCTACTAAAAATTCAAAAATTAGCTGGGCGTGGTGGTGGGTGCCTGTAGTCCCAGCTACTCAAGAGGCTGAGGCCGAAGAATCACTTGAACCTAGGAGGCGAAGGTTGCAGTGAGCCAAGACTGCACCACTGCACTTCAGCCTGAGTGACAGAGCAAGAGTCCATCTCAAAAAACAAAACAAAACAAAACAAAAACAAAAAAAACCCCAAATCCCACAAGTGACATGGAAAATGTTAATGATATATTTTTACATGAAAAAAAAGCAGGGTACAGTATATTGTGCATAATCTCAACTCTGTTGCCCAGGCTGGAGTGCAGTGGTGCCGTCTCGGCTCACTGCAACCTCCACTTCCCAAGTTTAAGTGATCCTCCTGCCTCAGCCTCCCGAGTAGCAGGAATTACAGGTGCGCGCCACTGCAACCAGCTAATATTTGTTTTTTTTTTTTTAGAGATGGGGTTTTACCATGTTGGTCAGGCTGGTCTCAAACTCCTGACCTCATGATCTGCCTGTGTCTGCCTCCCAACGTGCTGGGATTACAGGCGTGAGCCAACGTGCCCGGCCCCTTGGGTGTGTTTTTTTCTTTCATTTTTGAGCTTTTCTACATTTCCCAAACTTCCTTCATTAACATGCATTGCTTTTGCAATTATGTAAGATCTCTCAATATTATTTAAAGCAGAGGTAAGAAATATAGTTAAGGGAAATAACAAATGTGCTGTCATCAGTTTCCTGACATATAACGAATATTTTGTGGGGAAAGGTGGAGGGGAAAACTGAGCATGTGAATGTCGCTGTAGCACAAATACATGCTCTTTCCCAGGTGCAGTCACCAGTACAGATATGTCTCATAACTTTCCATTAGCAATTATCATACTCACCAGGGGCATGAGTAAGCACAATCACATCCTGATCATTTTCCTCCTGCTTGAGTCACTTTCCTCCTTGGCTTCCCTAACTTCACATTCCTATTTTCTGTCTACCACATTGGCCCCTCTTTTCTCAATCTCCTAGTTCCTTCTCCTCTGAGCACCCCTATTTACCTTTCAAAGAGCCCCAGGCTTGGTCTTGAGTCTCCTCTTTACCATCTAACACAGAGAAAAAGAAATTTAAAATGCCTTCCAGAGCCTGGTCAGTGGCAAGCAAGCGAAGCTGCTCCTTGATTTCACTGCTTGTCCTCTTCTAGCTCAACTCCCGTCAGGAACACCTCAGTCACTGGTGTATTCTCCCCACTTGCTCAAGTCAAAAACCTAGAAGCTATCTTTTGTTCCTCCCTTTTCACTCTTCCTCACTCCCTCATGTCCAATACAGTAACAGATCCCATTGGTGCTCTTTTCTTTTCTTTCTTTTTTTTTTTTTTGAGACAGGTTTTCACTCTGTTGCCCAGCCTTGAGTGCAGTGTCACCATCTTGACTGACTGCAGCCTCGACCTCCTGGGTTCAGGTGATTCTCCCACCTTAGCCTCCTGAGTAGCTGGGACTACCGGCTAGCACCATCATGCCCGGCTAATTTTTGTATTTTTTTTTGTAGAGACGGGGTTTTCACCATCTTGCCCAGGCTGGTCTTGAACTTGTGAGTTCAAGCGATCCGCCCACCTCTGCCTCCCAAATTGCTGAGATTACAGGTGTGAGCCACAGCGCTCAACAAAATATATCTTGAATCCTTTTCTTTTTCTTTTCAGCCTCCACCTTGCTTAGACTATTTAAGTGTTGTCTTAAACGGTCTCTTTGCTTTTATTCTTGCCTGGTCACCATCTGTTCTTCACACCAGCCAGGCAGTTGCACTCATCTCTGCATTTGGAATTGAAACCTTAGGGGATATGGCTGTGGTCTTCTTTCAGTCTTCCTATTGCAAGGGTAATATTTACCTAGCTTGCTGAATTATCACAATTCCAAATTAAATTAGCAGTGCCAAAAAAAAGTGAATTCACTTTGGTTTCCAAATATTTAACAGTCAAATGTTTGGGAACTTAAAAAAAAAAAAAAAGGAAAAGAACAGTAATATGCTCAATTGTTCTGTTCACCTTGTATGCTACCACCTCGGTTATTGTTTAATAATGGCTGAGGGAGAATTAGAAAAAGAGGAAAATTACATTTTTTTTTTTTTTTGAGACAGAGTTTTGCTCTTGTTGCCCAGGCTGGAGTGCAATGGCGCGATCTCGGTTCACTGCAACCTCTGCCTCCCAGGTTCAAGGGATTCTTCTGTCTCAGCCTCCCAAGTAGCTGGGATTACAGGCACATGCCACCACGCTTGGCTAATTTTTGTATTTTTAGTAGAGACGGGGTTTCATCATATTGGTCAGGCTGATCTCGAACTCCTGACCTCAGGTGATCTGCCTTCCTCGGCCTCCCAAAGTGCTGGGATTACAGGCGTGAGCCACCGTGCCCAGCCTATATTCTTTTCTTAATTCTCATCCATCTGTAAAGAACACAACACAAAGGCTGAATGTAATAAACGTGTACTATAGTCTGGAGGTGGCTTACCAAACTTGTTTCCATTTAAGTTAGTCTTACCTCATTTTTCCAGGGCCTCAATTCAATAGATTTTCTCTCTCTCTCTCTCTCTTTTTTTCGTCTTCCGAGCTTCTACGATTATGACTCATGGAACTAAAACTAGATCAGTACTGCTATGTGTTACTTTCTGCATCAGATTTTTCTCAACTAGTTAAAATGACATAAGTGAAATATATATTTTGTAAAGCTTAAACACTAAGTAAAATGATGTAACAACCTATTTTAAAAGGTTTTATTTAGCAGAGGAATAAAGACCTTCTAATTTTACTGTACAGCATAATATAATTTTTTCTGTAGTTGCTGATCATGGAACTTCCATTAATCTCATTTAGATTCTGGAAATTAGAGTACATTTTCCTAAATGATAATTTCTTGTTTACTAACCACACCTTTTTTCTTTTCTTTTCTTTTTTTTTTTTTGCAGAGTCTTGCTGTGTCACCCAGGCTGAGGTGCAGTGGCGAGATCTCAGCTCACTGCAGCCTCCGCCTCCTGGCTTCTAGTGATTCTTGTGTCTCAGCCTCATGAGTAGCTAGGATTACCAGGGTGCGCCACTATGCCTGGATAATTTTATTTTATTCTATTTTATTTTATTTATTTATTTTTTTGAGACAGAGTCTTACTCTGTTGCCCAGGCTGGAGTGCAGCAGCCTGATCTTGCCTCACTGCAACCTCCGCCTCCCTGGTTTGAGTGATTCTCCTGCCTCAGCCTGCTGAGTAGCTGGGATTACAGGCATGTGCGGCCATACCTGGCTAATTTTTGCATTTTTAGTAGAGATGAGGTTTTACCGTGTTTGCCAGGCTGGTCTCAAATTCCTGACCTCAGGTGGATCCGTCCACCTCTGCCTGCCAAAGTGCTGGGATTACAGGCGTGAGCCACTGCCCCCAGTCCCAGCTATTTCTTGGATTTTTTGTAGCGACAGGGTTTCACCATGTTGGCCAGGCTGGTCTTGAACTCCTGGCCTCAAGGGATCCACCTATATTGGCCTCCCAAAATGCTGGGATACAAATGTGAGCACCGTGCCCAGCCTACTAACCACATTTTGATTTAGAAATAAACTTTGGCTGGGTGCAGTGGCTCACACCTGTAATCTTAGCACTTTGGGCGGCTGAGGTGGGCGGATCACCTGAGGTCAGGAGTTCAAGACGAACCTGGCCAACATGGTGAAACCCTGTCTGTATTAAAATACAAGCATTAACTAGGCGTGATAGTGGGTTCCTGTAATCCCAGCTACTCAGAGGCTGAGATGGGAGAATCGCTTGAATCTGGGAGACGGTGGTTGCAGTGAGCCGAGATCATACTGCTGCACTCTAGGTGGTTGCAGTGAGCTGAGATCATACTACTGCACTCTAGGTGGTTGCAGTGAGCCGAGATCATACTACTGCACTCTAGCTTGGGCGGCTGAGCAAGACTCCGTCTCAAAAAAAAAAAAAAAAAAAAAAAGAATTACCTAGAAAGCTATTTTTAAAAAAAAAAAAAACGAAGAAAACACTGATATCTGATATCTGTCTGGGTCCCAGTTGAAATTCTGATGTGATCGACTTAGGTATTAGCATTTATTTATTTATTTTAACAAATGGTTTATTGATATGTTATAATGAATGACAAAATATTAGTGTCTAATTCTATACTTTATGGCCACCCCATAGGATGAATCTTTGGAACAGAAAAAAAAATAAAGATTTTGTTTTCCCATAATCATAAAGCTGTTATACTCAGTCCAGGCACAGCTAGTATAACATTCTGCTCAACCCCACCGGCTGCATTCCCTTTACCACCTATTTATAATATGTTTGGGTCACTCATAGGAGTGAGACCCTGTCAGCATCAATAGTTAGCAACACTTTCAAAATACACTTTATTGTCCTGAATAGAAACCTTAACTATTCAATTTGTCCAGTAATTCCAACGATCTTATTACTTCTATAAATAAGATATGATCTTACAACATTATGTAGCTAAATACTTAGACTTCCCATGCTTTTTGAGGATTCCCACACTGTACTTGCTTTCTTGTGAAGGGCTTGAGACATGTGCAGAGACACCTTAAACATGTGTAGGTGACCTTCCTTTTGAAAGGCAGAGGAGGGCCTCTTCGTGAACTCTTGCTACTCATTTGTTTTCCTATCAGTTTGCCATTTCAACTAGAAAAGATGCTGCAAGCTACCTCAGCTAGCTTCTAATTTGGACACAGCATCAATACTACACACTCAATTGAATGGACGACCACATCTTCCTGGTTCTTCCACTGGGCAGGGTCGATATGCGTCTTTGGACTGAATAGGTGTGATCTTGTTCGAGAAAAGTGCATAAACGTAGGGCCAGATCTTGTTCGTCTCCGTCCCAGAAGAATATTGGTGGAACACTCCTCGGCTTTTGTGTAATTCAATGACTGGCTTTGCCACGTCTTTGTACTGTCTTAGCCTGGCAGCAACTGCTTCAGGTTTATCATCCTCCTGCTGGACTGATGGTTCACCAGTGACATCATCAATACCATGTACATGAGGTGGATTGAAGTCCAGGTTATATACCCTTCCGCTAGGAGGGTGAATCCAATGGCGACTGAGATGATCTTTAAGTGTTTCAAATGAAATGTTCAAACTGATCACTAGATCCACTTCACAGATTTTGTCCAGGGCTTCGGCTTGTCCTAATGTCCTAGGAAAACCATCGAGGAGCCAGTGCTGGCCAGGCCTATTCTCCAGCTCGGACATCATTAGGCGTGTGATCACATGGTCTGGAACCAAAAGGCTTTTCTCCATATATTGCTTTGCCGTCTCACCAACTTCTGTGCTCAGGACCTTCTTGGTAAATGATTCCAAGACCTCCATGCGTATTATGTTGGTGCTGCACCTATCAGGTATTAGCATTTATAAACTCTATCAGGTGATGCTTAAGGTTCCAGGTGAATCTAATGACTCAAGATTAAGACCCACAGAATTGGGGAATTACAGCTTCAAGATGTCATTTTCTATATTTGAGGCTGGCTGCATGTTTGACAAAGGCATTTATATATTTTTCTAGGACTGTGTCACACCAGTTTCGTAGGATGATGTGCCACACACAGCAACATGAATCTTCCAAATATGTTTCAAGTATTTGCTTAACAGTTAAATAATACTTATACACAGTTCCTCACTAAAGATAGTGTATCTAAAAAAACAAGTTTTGTATTTTTAGTAGAGCTGGGATTTCACCATGTTGGCCAGGCTGGTCTTGAACTCCTGACCTCAGGTGACCCACCCGCCTTGTCCTCCCAAAGTGTTGGGATTACAAGTGTGAGCCACCGCATCTGACCCAAGATGACATTTTTCTTAATCTTTGGTTTCTCAACATTCTGAGGAAAAAAGCCTAAAACTAAGCCGCCTTCTGCAATGAAAATATGTTAATCATCTCATCCCACACAATTTTTCATCTTTAAAATCCAAATTATAGAATCATGTAAACACTGCACTCCATCAGTTCTATATAATGGATGATTCTACCCAAATATATAGTGGGGCTTGGGTAGCTGCTAGTAATTTTCTTTTTTTGAGACAGAGTTTCGCCCTCGTTGCCCAGGCTGGAGTGCAATGGCGCGATCTCGGCTCACCACAAGCTCCGCCTCCCAGGTTCAAGCGATTCTCCTGCCTCAGCCTCCTGAGTAGCTGGAATTAAAGGCATGCGCCATCACGCCCGGCTAATTTTTTGTATTTTTAATAGAGACAAGGTTTCTCCATGTTGGTCAGGCTGGTCTCGAACTCCCGACCTCAGGTGATCTGCCTGCCTTGGCCCCCCAAAGTGTTGGGATTACAGGCGTGAGCCACCCCGACCGGCCGGAATTTTCTTAAGGGGCCAGTGAAATCCTGTTATGTTATTGATTGAAATCCTCTAAAGGCAGCAGGTTGCCTTCAGGGTAGAGTCCAGTCTGAAAGTCCAAAGCCAGGTTTACAGTGGTCCCTCCCACCTCTCTAGCCTTATCTCTTTTTTTTTTTGAGACAGGGTCTCGTGTCACCCAGGCTGGAGTGCAGTGGCGCCTTCATGGTTCACTGCAGCCTAGACTTCCCAGGCTTAAGTTGTCCTCCCACCTCAGCCTCTCGAGTACTCAGTAGCTGGGACTACAGACACGTGACCCTATGCTGGGCTTTTTTTTTTTTTTTTTTAGACAGGGTTTTGCCATGTTGCCCAGGCTGTCCTGGCTTCAAGCCATCTGCCCACCTCAGCCTCTCAAAGTGCTTAGATTACAGGTGTGAGCTACCTCGTCTGGCCTCTAGCTTCATCTCTAGTCAAGTCCCATTAACAACCTGCTTGCCATTCCCAGACTCACCTTTTTTTTTTTTTCCTTTTCTGTTTTTTGAAAACAAAATTATTATTATTATTTTTTTAAGCTGGAGTCTCACTCTGTCGCCCAGGCTGGAGTGCAGTGGCGAGATCTGGGCTCACTGCAACCTCTGCCTACTAGGTTCAAGCAATTCTCCTTCCTCAGACTCCCTAGTAGCTGGGATTACAGACATCTGCCACCACGCCCTGCTAATTTTTGTATTTTTAGTAGAGCTGGGGTTTCACCATGTTGGCCAGGCTGGTCTTGAACTCTTGACCTCAGGTGACCCACCCGCCTTGTTCTCCCAAAGTGCTGGGATTACAAGTGTGAGCCACTGTGTCCTGCCTATTTATTTATTTATTTATTTATTCTTGGACGGAGTTTCTCTCTTGTTGCCCAGGCTGGAGTGCAATGGCGTGATCTTGGCTCACTGCGACCTCCGCCTCCTGGGTTCAAGCGATTCTCCTGCCTCAGCCTCCGTCCTGGGATTACAGGCATGCACCACCACACCTGGCTAATTTTGTATTTTTAGTAGAGGCGGGGCTTCTCCATGTTGGCCAGGCTGGTCTCAAACTCCTTACCTCAGATGATTCGCCCGTCTCGGCCTCCCAAAGTGCTGGGATTACAGGGATGAGCCACCGCGCCTGGCCCCAACATTTTTAAAAATAAAAATAAATGAATAAACTGGATCAGCGGACTCCCCCCCACCCCACCGACGCCATGAGGCAGAGGACGGGGGCAGAGATGTTGGACCAGATTCTGCACCCTTGCCTCCCATGTACCTCCCATGGGCAGGGAGGAGAGACTAGGGGGCCCGAAGGAAGGCAGAATGAGAAGAGCGGTCCCATTCGCCATGAGTGTCTGTTTCTCAGCTGTGGCGGCCTAGGCCCTGCTGGGGAGAGAGTGATCACTCACCATTTTCATGTAACAATTATAATTTTGGCATGGGGTCTTCATTATGCTAACATATTTTTTTTTTGTTGTTGTTGTTGTTTGTTTTTTTGAGACGCAGTCTCGCTCTGTCTCCTAGGCTGGAGTGCAGAGGCGCGATCTCAGCTCACTGCAACCTCTGCCTCCAGGGTTCAAGCCATTCTCCTGCCTCAGCCTCCCAAGTAGCTGGGATTACAGGAACCCACCACCACACCCAGCTAATTTTTGTATTTTTAGTAGAAACCTCAGGGTTTGCCATGTTGGTCAGACTGGTCTCGAACACCTGACCTCGTGATCTGCTGGCCTCAGCATCCCAACGTATTGGGATTACAGGTGTGAGCCACCATGCCCAGCTACATAATTTTCATTCATTAAAAAAACCAAGTATTCAAGATGATCTGTTTTCTGCAGCCTATTGTGTGAGCACAGGGTCAGTTCCATTTCTCCTTTGTGCAAGGGTAAAAAACATTATGTTGAGATTTTAAGTAATCACAATACTATTTAATGTCATGGGATCGGAGTTACCCAAACTCAGGTTCTTTATACATAAAAAGTGCCTATAGGCTGGTGTGGTGACTTACACAGTTCCAAGCACTTTGGGAAGCCGAAGTGGGAGGATCGCTTGAGGCCAGGAGTTTGAGACCACCCTGAGCAGCACAGCAAGATTCTCGTCTCTAATGGGGTGGCAGGGGGAGGGAAGAGTGCCTATAAAGAGAGTGTGGCTGGGCCCAGTGGCTCATCCCTGTAATTCCAGCACTTTGGGAGGCCGAGGCAGGCAGATCACTTGAGGTCAGGAGTTCGAGACCAGCCTGGCCAACATAATGAAACCCTATCTCTGCTAAAAATACAAAAAAAAAAATTAGCTGGGCATGGTGGTGCCCACTTGTAATCCCAGCTACTTGGGAGGCTGAGGCATGAGATTTGCTTGAACCCAGAAGGTGGAGGTTGCAGTAAGCTGAGATGGCGCCACTGCACTCCAGCCTGGGCAACTGAGGGAGATTGTCTCAAAAATAAATAAATAAAATAAAAAATAAAGAGTGTAACCTAAGTGGGGGTGATAGCATGCATTTTTCAACACATATAAACACAGCAACCTTTTTAATGCTCTATAGTTCTATCTAGAAGAACAACCTAATTATTTAAGAGTCATATTGAATTCAGTTGTCTTCTAAGGTTAAAATGTTCAACCATTCTGGAGACTTCATATCCTGGAATAACCTTCCCCAAATTTTTCATCTGGCTTATTCCTAGTTATTCTTTAAAATTCATGTCTGATATCACCTTCTCTTGAAAGTCTGTCTTTTAGGTTTTCATAGGCTTAACATACTGAATTGAGTCCTTAAGGCAGGGACTGAATTTTTTACTTCTTAACCTAAATGTCTAATGCAACGCCTGCTACATTAGAATGCTAAACAAATGTTTTCTGGAATGACTTAAGTGAGTGAGTGAATTTCTTTTTGCTTTAAATATTTTTTGGTCCTATTTGGTACCACATTATCAATGGCACATCACTTGAAGAAGAGTCCCTTTATTTATTTAGAGACAGTCTTGCTGTGTTGCCCAGGCTGGAGTACAGTGGCACAATCTTGGCTCACTGCAACATCCGCCTCCCCAATTCAAGTGATTCTCCTGCCTCAGCCTCCCAAGTAGCTGGGATTACAGCTGTGTGCCACTACCCATGGCTAATTTTTGTATTTTTAGTAGAGACGGGGTTTCACCATGTTGGCCAGGCTGAGTCCCTTGATTGAATATGTCATGAAACTTTTCTATGTCCATTAACTACCTCCAATACCCACTGTATGGAAGGACCAGAATGTACAACTTCTCTTTGTGTGTATTAGACATTTAGATTGTTTCTAAGTTTTTGAAATTATAAATAATTATAAAATGAAAATGATTTTAATTGTATCTTTCAGCTACCTGGTTATGCCTGGGATATACCTTAAGAATGGAAGTACAGCCGGGTGCGGTGGCTCACGGCTGTAATCCCAGCACTTTGGGAGGCCCAGGCAGGCAGATCATGAGGTCAGGAGATCGAGACCATTCTGGCTAACACGGTGAAATCTCGTCTCTACTAAAAATACAAAAAAATTAGCTGGGCATGGCGGTGTGCGCCTATAGTCCCAGCTACTTGGGAGGCTGAGGCAGGAGAATGGCGTGAACTTGGGAGGCGGAGCTTGCAGTGAGCCGAGATCATGCCATTGCACTCCAGCCTGGGTGACAGAGCAAGACTCTGTCTCAAAAAAAAAAAAAAAAAAGGCCGGGCGCGGTGGCTCAAGCCTGTAATCCCAGCACTTTGGGAGGCCGAGACGGGCGGATCACGAGGTCAGGAGATCGAGACCATCCTGGCTAACACGGTGAAACCCCGTCTCTACTAAAAAATACAAAAAACTAGCCGGGCGAGGTGGCGGGCGCCTGTAGTCCCAGCCTCCGGAAGGATGGCCGGAGAATGGCGTGAACCCAGGAGACGGAGCTTGCAGTGAGCTGAGATCCGGCCAGGGCACTCCAACCTGGGCGGCAGAGCGAGACTCCGCCTCAAAAAAAAAAAAGAGTGGAAGTGCAGTGTATCAATGCCTCTCAGTGATGTTGTACATTTGCAGTAAATAAGAGTGTTCATTTCCCCTTTGCCAACACTGGATACTATAAATATTTGCAATGAGAGAGGCAACGATGTTATCTAAAACTATCTTAATTTACATTCCTTTATTAGTGGAGTTGAACTTGTACATATTTCTTAGCAAAGATAATCATATGGCGTTTCTGTAAGGAAATGGATATTTCCTTTAATAAAATTAAACCCAGGTCTTCTCAGTTAGCAACAAAGGGAAAAACCTCCTTGGAAAATTCCTTGTGGACCTTATAACCCCAAACATGACCCCACAAAATTCCCCTTTTCCTTGAAAATCTCTGGCTAAATACAGGGGTATCACCTCACCCTCTTTAACATGCAGGCC